CAGGTTACTTTGCCCTCCCTTTCTATTTATATCTTGTGATAGAAGTTCTTTATTTATTCAGGTTACTTTGCCCTCCCTTTCTATTTATATCTTATGATAAAATGGTTTTCTCTTGACAGTGAGCCCACAGACCTAGGGGATCTGGCACTTGGGTGGATGCAGGGCTGAGTCTGGGAATTCTTTTTTCTCCCACTTCTTCTCGCTAGAGGATCCCTTGATCGAGCTCAAGGACCTCGAAGAGACTAGCAGCTCCTCCTCCCTCCTTGATCCCTTGGGCTCACGGGATGGACATTGGCCATGCCCTGTGTGAGTAATGACTCAGCAGTGCCCTTTCTGTGGAATTTCCTTCATCATCTGAGAGACAGAGAACAAGCATGTATGTGCTGGCCGCGAGATGACTGTACAGAGGAAGGAGGCCAAGGTTTCCCTGAGAGGAGCTGCAGCTGTCCCGGTATGCTCCGTGGGTGGGGTGGTGGGGAATGGACAGGTGGGTGGATGTGGGTGACTTGTTAGAGCCCATGGGGATGGGGTCCTTCAAAACCAAGTAGACCTGAGCTCCAACCAGCTTTCCCTTTCTAGCTGTATGATCTTGACTGAAGTCACTTAACCCCCGAGCCTCAGTTTTCTCATCTGCAAAATGAGGCTAAAACAGGACACATTGAAGAAGGTTGTGAGGAAGATTACATAAAACAGCATGTGAAATGCTTAGCATGAGGCCCAGCAATCCTACCGTCCTCAGCTGGGGGCAGATGACCTGGACACGTGAAACAGGGAGGTTTCCACATGGAAGGGCTTCAAGGAGGAGTAGGGGGAGAGGAGGGAGAGATTGAGGCGGAAGTGGCTGGACAGAGGAGGTGACTGACGGAGAAAGTTTGTTTGAAAAGACTGAAACAGCGTGAGTATGAGCTTCCAAGCGTTCCGTTCACTTGGTCGGCAGACATCCATTAGGAATCCACTGATCCCATGCTGGCTATGGTGGGCTCATAGTTTGGGCTCATAAAAACAGCTAAGTGAGGCCGGGCGCGGTGGCTCACGCCTGTAATCCCAGCACTTTGGGAGGCCGAGGCGGGCGGATCACGAAGTCAGGAGTTCGAGACCATCCTGGCTAACACGGTGAAATCCCGTCTCTACTAAAAATACAAAAAAATTAGCCACGTGGTGGTGTGTGCCTGTAATCCCAGCTACTCGGGAGGCTGAGGCAGGAGAATGGCATGAACCCGGGAGGCGGAGCTTGCAATGAGTCGAGATCACGGCGCTGCAGTCCAGCCTGGGCGACAGAGCGAGACTCTGTCTCAAACAAAACAAAACAAAACAAAACAAAAAAACCTAAAAAAACAAAACAAAACAACAACAAAAACAAAAAACCCAAACAAACAAACAATAAAACCACCTAAGTGAGCAGGATTTTTTTCACCAGTACAAATATCCTTTATTTTTCTGCCATATGTTCAGAGATAAAGGGTCCTCCATTGGTAGAGAAGCTCAGGCGTGTCACCGAGGACCTGGGATACTATTTTATTTGTGCTTTTTCTCCTTAGAGGGTTG